TGACGTGCAATGGTCCCGGCATACCGCAAGTGACGCTACACCGCTCAGCTGACCACACGCGCCTCATGCTGCTCGAGGACAACCAATTCGTGAGATACATGAAATTAATTACTTTATTTTATTTATTTTTATATACTTTATTTTATTTTTATTTTATTACTTTTATTTATTTAATTAATTACTTTATAAGTATAAAAATATTGGTTCATTGAAATGAAAAGTAGCATTTCAAATGTACGTTATGTGCATATAGCATTTTATATATGAATTGCTGATGTAGTTCATATGTGTGTTGAATTTGGCATACCTACGAGATATTTTTTATAGATATAAGCTAAGGTAATATATTCGAAGTCCATATGCCTAGTTATATTCTTGCAGAAATTTCATTAATTATAACTAGCCTAGATTATTTAAGCTTTCTTGTTAGATATGAACGTACCTTTGGCTCCATCTGCGATTCATAGACATCGCATAAATGAAAGAAATAAATCAGAGAATTGGCTTTATTGTCGAAATTAAATCAAAAAATAAAAAACTAAATAAATTGCAGAATTGGCTTTATTGTCAAGATTTAGATTCCTAAATGCATCACGACTCTAAATGATTCCGGTTCCGTGCCAGGTGCGAGAGAGCCTACACGACCGGGTGTTGCCGCTCGAGAAGCGCCTCGAGATCGAAGTCGCGGGCGGCTACAAAGCCCAGGTCTCCATGAAGCTTCCGCCCGACTACAACCCAAATAAAATCAAGGCTTATCCTATGCTCGTATATGTGTAAGTTATTAGGAAGAATTACAGAGAAGTTTAAGGAAATTTAACTATCAAAATCTGTTTTCTGAAGGAGTTGAAATTCCAGATAATGATGTTTTGAAAGTCAGTGTGAAATGATGTCACAGGTATGTTGGATATACTATGTTGGACGAACGGTTAGAATAGAACATGAAGCTTGAAACACATCACCTCAATATCATTTGGCATGTAATCCGATTTCTCGAATTTTTACAGCTTATTTTGGAAAAAAATAAAGTATCTTTTTTCAATATTCCATATTGCTGATACCCAGAGGGCCGAATTTGAATCTCCTTGTAAAAAATTATTAGTACCTATATATCATTTGTCTGCCTTAATCGCAAAATCACTAATAAATTTGAAGCGAAGGAAACGTAAAGTAAATTAGCCAAATTTTCAATAAATAGGTACGTTTTGAAAGCTAGTTTCATCATTAGTTCAGTTCCAAATTATTAGTATAGTTTTGATCCGGAACTCAAATCCAAACGGATAATAAATACACTCTCGAATTGCATGTACGCCGGACCAGGATCGCAGCTGGTGAAGAGCTGATTCCGCACCGGCTGTAACTCTTCATTTTAAAAGCAATAATTTTTTTTGACCAATTACATTTAAAGTTTGAATATGAAGCCTGCATTCCAATATATACCATAGGTACGGAGGGCCGGGCTCGCAGCTGTGGACAAGTTATATATAAAGTCTGAATATGAAGCCTGCATTCCAATATGTATTATAGGTACGGAGGGCCGGGCTCGCAGCTTGTCAACGACAGGTTCCGTATCGGGTGGGGCGACTACCTAGCGTCTAAGCGCGGCATCATCTACACGAGCATCGACGGCCGCGGCTCAGGCTACGCAGGCGACGGCATCTTGCATGCGCTCAACCGCGCGCTCGGCACCGGCGAGGTCGACGATCAGATCTCCGTTACTGCGTGAGTCTCCGTACTGTCATCCGCTTAGCCTGATCAGTTTAGTCCGTTTACAGTAATCAGTTAATCAGTTAAAGTCCGTTTACAGTAATCAGTTAAGTCCGTTTAAAGTAATCAGTTAAAGTCCGTCTACAGTAATCAGTTAAGTGACTTAAGTCCGTTTACCCTAATCCGTTAAGTCCGTTTACAGTAATCAGTTACGTCCGTTTGCAGTAATCAGTTGAGTCCGTTTACAATAATCAATTGAGTTGCTTAATTTATAATTTTTCGCAGAGCACATGCTTCAAAAATTGAAGTTGTTTGTTTACGTATAGATTATTATATGTTAATATAGATACAATTAATGACCAAAGAATACATTACAATATTTATTTTGTATTTATGTGTAGATATTTGCACTAGATGGCAGGAATTTTTTTGTTTAGAGTTGAAAATTGGATTGTAATGTATTCTCATGGTTATTATTCGTATGCTTATAGATATTTAAACACGAGTGGTTAATGACCAGAGAAATCATTGATTTAAATTTTCAGGATCGAACAATATTCTTCAGTGGACGTTGGTTGATAAAAAT